GTCCTATAACGGTGTCTTATGGAACCAAGGAGCATAATGGGACATTTCCTATAAAAGTCTTTTTTACTTTCCCGTAATAAAAGTGGAGGACTCGGCCCTTGAGCTGTGACAAAACCACTCTTAGTAAGGTAGAAAATAATGTATTTGAATTATTTATAACTTTGTTTGTTTTCAGTTTGTCCTTTTCCGTCTTGTGAATCAAGCTGGTTCAAGTCTACAACAGAGCAAATCTCCCCTCAAAGCTTTCTAACATTAAAAGTGAGGACATCTATACCAACACCTGAGATGACGAAGTATACCACACTAACTACCACAAAACAATCTGCAGCGAATCTCACTCCTTTATCGAGAAGTTATTTAACTGCGATACAGACGCTTTTACTCCGTTCTTCAACCTCTCATCCTTTAACTGAAGGCCCAGTGAGCACCAGTCGTGAGACATTTGAAACGCGTCTACAGTTCTCAACTTCATCGCTCACCCAAACTGACTCTGTAAAGAAGAGTATTTTGGCTGTTCATGTTTGGTCCAGTCATTCAACACCAACGCTACAATCAAATCTGTCATCAACTCTGTCTTCACTTTCATCATTATCAACAACCTCTTCATCAAAATCACCATTTTTACCCCCATCCTCCACGTTTCTTATTCAAATACTTGCGCATGCTTCCATATCTTTCTCTACTGCATCGCCGACAACATGTGCATCGACTTTCCATTATGTTCCCAGTCTTACATCCTCGCTTGATCAAAATCCTACTTTCGTGCTGGTTCCCAGTCCCACTTTCTCGCTGTTTTTCAATCCCACATTCTCGATGAATCCCAGCCCAAGTGCAGGCCGTCCAAAAAATGGCGTAGAAATTGAAATGAGACCTGGATACAATGTAAGTAATTATTTTTCTTTAATCACTTTTTTTCTAAGAGTATCGAGTGATTTGAAAGTGATGGTAATGCTTATCTTGTGAATAAAAATAGTAGCATGCCATTGACAGCTCCTAGAGCACTCCTTTTACTCGGCGTTTAGTTTGGGACAAAATTTGCGATCCGACCTCGACAGTGAACCAGCTATCCAGACTGACAAAAGAGTGACAGATACTTTAATTTCCACAAGAATAAGTCTTACTGTAGTCATTAAACTCGAGGCTCAGTATTTATCTAAGAAGTGGAACGCACGAGAATACGAAAAAAGTGTAAATCACGAGCCAGGGGCAAGTAAATTTCAAACTTTTCGAGTATTCTTCTTATTGCACCGCTAAAGCGATAGAAAGTACGGTGTACTTGCTATTATAAAACAAAACACAGTATTTTCCATTTTCCTTGGGTTTACCGGTGCAATTAACGAATCATAGATTTTCGACCAATCAGGGCGCTCGTATTATCTCATTTATCTTCCACCTCCTCTAACAGTCTCTTCGCCTTTTCTCATCTCCTCTCTCTCTCTCATTTTCTCATATCCTTACCTTTCCTCTTTTACTTACTGTCCTTAGTAGATTCTACATCACTTCAACTGTTTTTAGGGTTTCCGCACATGCACGCACTGTATCAACCCTTTTACGATAATTGTATATTATTTTATATGTTTTCTTTTGCAGTGGACAAGAGAAAGTGAGGAACAAGTTAAACTAGAGTTGATTAGTACTATCAATAAATTCTGTATGAAGCATTTACGGCCGTGTCAAATTACTACGAACGCAACCTTAAACAGGTAACGAAATAAGCTGTAATGTCTTGGAATTCAAGACGGTATTAGTAACTTATAATTTAGGGTAGGCAACGATCTGTTGTTGCTTGGAGTGCTTGTCGTTTGGTTGTCGTAAAAACAACACCAAAGTGATCACAACGACAGATCAGAAGAAAGATGAAAAACCTTCGGAGCCCGCAATGACAACTCATATTAAAAACAACCAAATTACCGAGAGCACGGGAAGACGCGGGTGACCAAGTGGTGATTGATTTTAGTTTTGCATCTGATTGGTTGAGAGAGAGTGACGCGAGTTTTCTGAACCAATCACAGAGCGAAGTAAAGCAAAAGCAAAGCAATCCAAGATTACTTTTGACGCTCAATAGAAAGTTGCTCTACCTTGCCTGTGATACACACATGACAAAATATATTTTCTGATATTTTACTCTGATCCCAAATCACTTAGAAACCTTTCGAGATATATTCCCGTCACTGTTGTTTTTTTTTTGTTTTTTTTTTCTCAAGAACGGTATTTAACATGTCACATGTCGTTTTGAAAGTTGTGCATGGCTTAGACGGGAAAGTCTACGTCCGATGTAAAGTGAAGATTCCCATGAACGTACCACATGTACCCGGCTCAGGTGAGGTCCAGTTATAATTGTGCCTTAGATTATAATACCTCTTTTTGTTTGCGTCGCAGGTGTAGAAATTGCTCATTGATGGGTTTTTACTATTCTATGCTGTCTGTAGTAATGACTTTTTTTTCGGTTGCATTGCATTCCCCCACGCAAAAATTCATGGTGTTCTTGCGTGTATCTGCTCCTTTGAGGTATATATTCTATGTGAAAAAACTATTTATTTCACACATACTGAGATTTACACTGTGAAGTGTTAATGTTCGTGTCTTTGACTGGACGAACGATATAATTTCACAGTCGTTCCCTTAAAATCTTTGAAATGTGTCGGTCATTTCTCAGTAGGAATGAAACGAAAACATGATTACAAAAAAATGCTTGCACAAGTTTTATTCACTCGTTGCGATGCATGAAAAAACTCGCTCGTTTGCTGCGCCCACTTGGTCGTTTTTTTTTTTTTATGCATCGCAACAAATAAAAATTGTACAAGCCCTTTCCATGGAATAATCTCTGTTATCTCGTCCTGAGACGAGGATTAGAAAAAGATATCTACGTTTTTTTTTTCTTTCTTGTATTTCATTCTTTTCAAGGATACTTGCCATCTGTTGTACTCAAACGAATAATTTTGGAGAGCAAAACGCCTTTGGAGAAGAATCTTGACGCAAAGATTGTGACTGTCAAGGAGATCGGTTGGGACCAACCAAATCCTTCCCCCGTAAAACCGTCGTCCGCTAGTTCCAGTATCATTAGGACGATCACAGTCCAGCCAACCATCAGGCAGACTCACTATCCTAGCTTCCTTCCATATGTCTTGGTGGGCCTGTGTTTGCTTGCCGGACTGATAGTGATTGTTGCATTTTACAGGTAACTGATTCTGGAACCCTTTGCCAGTTTCTCAGTTCAATAAAGCGATGCACAAATAATCCACAAATGAAAATGCACCCTTGAATCACAAATGGAATGAGCGTTCATGCATTTCCACCACAAACCATTTTCATTTCTACTTGTCTTAGGAGGAGCAAGTTACGTCAAGCCAGAGTGCTGCCTGAACCAGAGTGCCCCACAGAGGAAGACCTGTTGGTCTTACCAAACAGGAAATCAACAGTGCGACCATTTTCAGCTCCGACTGATACAACAAGAAGGGTACGGCAGGGTTTCCAGTGATCAAAATATTTTGCAAGGTTGTTCAGGGTTTAAATAGTATTGAATACGTCGAGTGTTAAAAAGAACAATTAATAGGTCCAAGATTGCAGTAATTATTAAAAATTGCATGCTACGGAACCATATTAGTTTGCTTTCGCCGAAGTTGATCTTTCGATTTTTATTTCACCAGGATAACTTTCACAACGACTCCCAGTTGCTTCACGAAAGTTCAGATGGCTCCAGTAGACGTCAGAAATACGTAACCTTTCGATCAGAATCGCGTCTTCATGAATTAAATAACCTTTATGTGAAGTCACTAAATAACAACAAAGACTCTGTTGACACTTGCCACGAGGAGAAAAACTTATTCCTGTCGTTTGAGAGACTGCAAGAACTCACTTTGCCGGGGGTTTTCATCAAAGATAAGGATGAACACCCCTGACCACTACAAGATCAAGCAAAACTGTGGCAGAACGTGGGTTAAACTGGTCGGCCGAAATTTTTCGCAGACACCGACTTCGATAAAAATCGATATATCATCTGTAATGCAAGAGTTTTATTTAGTAATCAAGGTTATGCCACATGTAATTAAGGCTCGCGTGAAAGGAATGAAAGCGTAAACGAGCCCTAACTTTACGCTGCAGCGCCTTAGTTTTACGACTAAGGGGTACCAGATGAACTGCTAGTGGTCGTGTATCAATCACGGGCCGCTTGTTCGAATGCTACTTCGCTCCAACCCTTGAGGACGAGTCAACCCTTTACAACCCTAACATTAATATCCATAATCTCCATACTCCTCTCTGTACATTTCTCAAGGTGCTGACAAGGAGAATTCGTTCAACAGTCAAGAGATTCTGTAGTTGGTGATCATTTCCTTTATTCTCTTGACCTTTGGGAGTGATTCAGGGATGATGCTGTGAGAGGAAATTAGATGCTGGTCAGTATTAGGGTGTAAAGGGTTACACTTTTTTTTTTTTAAGGGTTAAGTGGGGCTGATCGGTTTTGGGCTTTAATCTTGAATTGAGGGAAATCTGAACGAAACATGTAAATAGTAAATTTGTCTGCACAGTTAACCCTTTAACTCCCTAGATCTTATTTGTAATTCTCCTAACTATCTGCTGTACAGTTCTTGTGATGTGTGTTTGGAGAATTTGGTATTGGATCAACTTATAATCTCTTAACTGATATTTGCCTTTATTCTTATTACTTGTCTGCTTGATATTGTATTGATATTGTAAGGAGAAATTATGTCTTGGTCACTCATGGGAGTTGAAGGGTTAAGAAAACCACACAGAACATTTATAAAAACTATTATAGTTACCTAAAGATTATTCTGAACAGCTCCCCAATGGTGATTAATAGCAAGATGTTGATATTGCTGATTTGAGCTTACAGTAATGTATATATTGTACTTCTATTTAGCAAAACAAACTAGAGCATTTGAAATAAGACTCTATGTTTCCCTGTACAATAATCTTTAATCCTAGATTAGATTGTTCAAAGTTAAGATGCTTTACAGGGAGGTTTTATTAAGGCCACAGCAGATTACATGTAGACTTGGAATCACGGAAATACACTTCTATCACTACAGACTCAGATATACATGGCACTTGTTTCAACACATTCTTTATCACCAAGCCCTCTGGTTAAGACTTTGTTGAGAACACTTCACATGTACTGGTAGGTCCACTCTAAGCCTGTGATGTGGTGTGCCACTTAAAGTTTTAACATTATGTCCATGTAAAGATTTTATTTATTGAATCTCCTTTGGCAAATTCGGTGCATTTCAGTGATACTAGCTTTTTAAGGTTAGAGATGAAGATTGTATAAGCAGAAGAAAATGATGTTTCTCTGTCTTGATGTTGGTCAAATCTAAGAAATAATTTTTCTCATTTGTGGGAAATGCTTGACCACTTTTTCATGTCCATCTCATGCTGATCAACAAAAGGTTCTCTTACTCCCATCTCACTGTTCCCTCTGACTTTTAAGACAAAAGCTTGTCCCATGTCACTTGTCTTTTTAATCATCAGACTTTTTAGGTGGTTTCTCATATTCCTGTGCTTTGGAGAAAAGGTATTCCATGGCATTGTGAAGATCTGGCAGCTGTAGGAATGAGAGAATGTTGCAGTGAAATGACAAAATTCAATATGTTAACTTGTGTTCATGTAGAAGTAGAAGGGTTTGTATTTTTTCTCATTTAGAACAAATCATGGTCTTGTGACTTTCCATGGATTTTAGTCCAAAAGATGAATTAAAATTAAGCGATTAAAATTAGGTGGTTTCTCATATTCCTGTGCTTTGGAGAAAAGGTATTCCATGGCATTGTGAAGATCTGGCAGCTGTAGGAATGAGAGAATGTTGTGGTGAAATGACAAAATGCAATATGTTAACTTGTGTTCATGTACAAGTAGAAGGGTTTGTATTTTTTCTCATTTAGAACAAATCATTGTCTCATAACTTTCCATGGATTTCAGTCCAGAAGTTGAATTAAAATAAAGTGAAAAGAGTCATTCACCCAAGGTATTGCCTGCATTTTTGCTCTCAATAGAACTCTTCTACCCCATTTTCCATTCAGCAATATTGTTAAAAAATGAACTCTACTGAACTGCATAAAATATTAACAACATATTTCTTGGGGCAGATCACACTCTATGAACCTCTGATAGCTCTAAAGTATTGAAATGATCCAAAGGATTACTGTGGTAGTTCTCCTAGGTAGTATTACGCTATGCAAAACAGTGAGCTCACTGATATGTTCTCAACAACTTAAGGAATTTCTGTGAGGATTTTTTTGCCTAAACGTACCTCATATGCTTGAGCTAAATAAACACCAAAGATATTCCCAACCAAAAGACCAGTCTGTAAACAAAATATTGCAACAAGCTACAATTAAATTTAAGCAAAAACTAAAAGGCAGGTGCTACACAGTGTGTGGCTTTAAAAACATCCAGAATATCTCCTCAGCATTTAGTGGACCACTGTAAGGTAATGTTACTTGGAATATACATAATTCTGGGGCCCACATAGTTCAATAGTTTTTACTGTGCAAAGGTTATCAGCTATTTTAAGTGGTTAGTACAGAAGGGGAGTCTCTGAAGGGGATTCTCTGTACCAATTTTTAGGGACACCCAAAAATTTACCAGAATTTAGTTGTATTCTTGGTAAAAACTGAAAATCATTACATTTAAGTGTCTGGCAAATAACCTCACAACGCATGTTGATCAGAGTCAGTAGAAGGTGTCCTCAACTTACTCTGTGCTGATCAAAAGTTGATGGTTTAATGGTAAATTTGCCCTTTATCATTTCGTTCTTACATGGAATTCAATGGGAAATATCCTTCTGGCCTTTGTTTTGAATATAGTACTACTAGTGATGATAAAATATTTTGGATTTTGTGGTCTGCTTCTTTTTGAAGACAATCAATTCCGGAATGAAAGGAATACTAACTTATAAGCAATCAGGGCTCCTTTGAAACAGTTAGTGAGCGGAACCCCATTCTTGAGGATAGTTAGAGCACTGCCTCGCCCTTCTCCTGGTCCTGGTATTTCCAGTAATTAGAAAAATCCTACAATACTGTATTTCCTCTTTATTCTAACTTATGTTCGATTGCTTGTTTGAAGACAACCTTGTGCCCTGGGAAGGTTCATGATGCGACCATAAAATTGCTAAACATCCAGAGTAAATAGATGTTGATATACTTACAACAAGAGAAAACAGCTGAGTCGAGGCAGGCATAATGAGTGATACTTCTGTTCATAAGATGAACATTCACCCTATATTTACTTTTTTTGCCGTGAGGATTACCGTGAGGGAACTCAGCCCAACTTGTGTGAAACTTTTGCGCCCGCGATATACATACCCAGCAGTACCTTTTCATCATGGCGGCCAATATGGCGAGAAGAACTAGTCAGTGTATTTTCCGCTCCTCGAGAAAGATGTTCTCATTTCCTATGCGTCCTAGAAATACAGATCAATTACGGATGAGTAGTATCAATACTGAAGGTAGGTCATTCGCGTAAACTTTTTATTTTTACGATCTCTCACGCTAGGCAAGGCAGCTGGGACCGTGCAGCAACGCCTGCATTCAGATCTAGAAACATGGGCTGGGCTACGAACTGATTTAGATTTAGTTACACTTAAGAAGTAATTCCTCCATTGTACACTTGTTTACATAATGGGGGGGGGGGG